AAACCAAGCAAAAGCATTAAAGTTCTGAAGTCAAGGATCTATTTGAAAACATATCAAATTAGGTCAGGTTAATACCTGCAGAATATATCTGCCAAGGTGAAGCTTATGTCATGATTTCTCTCTAATTCTAGTTCTGGCACTTGATCATTAAGTAACCTGGGATAAATTAATTTCGTAAGGCTGAACAGAGACTAATGGATCTTATTTCAAAATGATCTTTTTCTTTTTTAACCCTTAACATCTATGCTAAACATTTAAGAAATTTGGTTATTTTTGTGTTTTCTTCAGAGTAGGTCACAAATATTATATTTTGCATTTATTGCAGCATTTATTTTCCTCCAAAATAATTTATACATGCACTTTGAACAATCTGCAATTATTTCAAGGCAGGTGACAATAACTTTGTTTTATTGTGAAGTAAAACACACACAGTAGGCCGAGCACGGTGGCTCATGACTGTAATCCCAGCACTGTGGGAGGCCGAGGCAAGTGGATCACCTGAGGTCGGGAGTTCGGGATCAGCCTGACCAACATGGAGAAACCCTGTCTCTACTGAAAATACAAACTTAGCCGGGCGGGTGGTGCATGCCTGTAATCTCAGCTACTCGGGAGGCTGAAGCAGGGGAATCTCTTCAACATGGGAGGCGGAGGTTGCGGTGAGCCGACATCGCGCCATTGCACTCCAGCCTGGACAACAAGAGTGAAACTCTGTCTCAAAAAAAAATACATAAATAAACATACACAGTAGAAAATATATGTGTATTATAAAGAACAAAAATAGGCCGGGCCTGGTCACGCCTGTAATCCCAGCACTTTGGGAGGCTGAGGCAGGTGGATCATCTAAGGTCAGGAGTTCGAGACCAGCCTTGCCAACATGGTATAAACCTCATCTCTACTAAAAATACAAAAATTAGCTGGGCATGGTGGCAGGCAGCTGTAATTCCAGCTACTCAGTATGTTGAGAGAGGACGATTGCTTGAACCTGGGAGGCGGATGTTGCAGTGAGCTGAGACTGGGTCATTGCACTCCAGCGTGGGCGGCGAGAACAAAACTCCATCTTAAAAACAACAACAACAAAACTAATATTTGTAACCCAGGTCAAAAAATATTTTTTGAAACATTTGTTCAATGTCCCTTTAGAGAGGTTGAGTGCTGCATGGAGAAAGGGCAAAGGTGGGCCATGAGTTGCAAGACCCCTTTTGCAAATCCCACTCAGCAAGACATATGCTAAAGCAACCTGATCTTCTTGGAGGATATTTTTTGAGTAAAATCCTTGTGAGGGGGCCGGGCGCGGTGGCTCAAGCCTGCAATCCCAGCACTTTGGGAGGCCGAGACGGGCGGATCACGAGGTCAGGAGATCGAGACCATCCTGGCGAACACGGTGAAACCCCGTCTCTACTAAAAAAGTACAAAAAAACTACCCGGGCAAAGTGGCGGGCGCCTGTAGTCCCAGCTACTCGGGAGGCTGAGGCAGGAGAATGGCATAAACCCAGGAGGCGGAGCTTGCAGTGAGCTGAGATTCGGCCACTGCACTCCCGCCTGGGCGTCTCAAAAAAAAAAAAAAAAATTCCTTGTGAGGAGGTCATGTGTACTACCACACCCAGAACTTTCCCTTGAACGAGACTTGTTAAATACAATATTCTCCATCTTGCTAGATTTCCAGTGATGTTTTAACAGCTCTCATACCCTAGGTTGCTCTTCAATCTACCTTCCTTCTCTTGGAGAAGGCTGTCCACATACACAAAGTCTCTCCTAGCCGAGTGTGGTGGCTCACGCCTGTAATCCCAGTGCTTTGGGAAGCCCAGGAGGGAGGATCATTTGAGGCCAGGAGTTCAAGACCAGCCTGGGCAATGTGGTGAGACACCCATCTCTACAACAAATTAAAAAATTAGCTGGGCATGGTGGCCAGAGCCTTAGTCCTAGCTACTCAGGAGGCTGACAGGGGAGAATCCCTTGAGCCCAGGGATTCAAGGTTACAGTGAGCTATGATTGTGCCACCATACTCAAGCCTGGGTAACAGAGGGAGACCCTGTCTCCAAAACAAACAAAAAACAGTCTCTCCTATTAGATCAGGGAATCTCTTAGCATCATGAGGCATCATGTCTTCCCCACAACATACTATAATATTACTAAGAATGATAACTTTTTTTATTTGATAAGGTCTCACTCTGTTGTCCAGGCTGGAGTGCAGTGGTGTGATCACAACTCACTGCAGCCTTGACTTCCTGGGCTCAAGGAATCCTCCTACCTCAACTTCCTGGGCAGCTGGGACAACATGCACAAGCCACCTCAGCTAGCTAATTTATTTTTATTTTTTGTAGAGACAGGGTCTCCCTGTGTTGCCCAGGGTGATCTCAAACCCCTGGGCTCAAGTGATCCACCTCAGCCTCTCAAAGTTTTGGGATTACAGACATGAGCCACTGAATCTGGCCAACAATGGGGACTTCATTTTCCATCCAAAAAACTTGTATTGGCTTTGCAGCAGCAAGAGGCCCTATAATGAAGGCCTTTCCTGAACTGAGTGACTTTTGGTGAGTGAAACCAGTCTTTGTGGAATAGGATGCAAGGCTCGCATCCCATACCTCATGATGAAGTTCTCCATTTACCAGGGTCGTATCATCCCGTTCCCACTCTGTATGGGAAGGAAGGGGAATTGTGGAAGAATTAGTCACTTGTTCTTTTCTTTTCCTAAACCACTTTGTACTTTTCTGCTTCAACACTATGTTATTATAGTCATTTAATAACTTAAATTTGCTTGTAGAGATGGGGGATCTTGTTATGTTGCCCAGGCTGGTCTCAAACTCCTGGGCTCAAGCAGTCCTCCCACCCTGGCCTCTCAAAATGTTGGGATTACAGGCATGAGCCGCTGCAAGTGGCCTATTTAATAACTTTATCCTCTTTTGTAACTGGATACTTTCCTTGGGGTAATGATATTGTTTTATTCTTCTTTGTAAATGACTGAATACCTAGAACAATACCCACTATCAAATAAGTGCCAGTTTAGTGAATGAAAAGAAAGCAGACATTTGGATAATTTGCTTCTATTTGAACTTTTGAATGAAGACGCAATAGTAAGGAACATACAGTCCAGTGCCCTACCTAGCTGGATTACTTAAGTCTTCTGCTTATCCAGATGAGTAAATTATATGGTTGGAGTAGATGAGACACTATTAACCAGAGGTCATTGGACTCCAGGGGATTTTTGAGCCCTTACCTCAAGCAAAGTTAAAAACCACAAGGATCAGATGGCTTGGCAAACCTCTACTATACTACTCAGTCACTAGAGTAGGATACCCTGTCATTGCAATAACATACGTGGAAACCAAAATGACATGTGCCTGTGGTGTCTAGCTATACACTAACACACACTCTCCAGCTTGTTGGTGCCTTTTCAGAGCTCCTTTGCTTGGCCCCAAAAGGTAAGATGGGAACAGATTCTAATAAATCTTTTTTTTTTTTTTTTTTTGAGATGGAGGGTGGAGTGCAGTGGCGCAATCCTGGCTCACTGCAACCTCCGCCTCCTGAGTTCAGGTGATTCTCCTGCCTCAGCCTCCCGACTAACTGAGGCGTGTGCCACCACATCCGGCTAATTTTTGTATTTTTAGTAGAGACGGGTTTCACTGTTAGCCAGGCTGGTCTCGAACTCCTAACCTCAAGTGATCCGCCCGCCTCGCCCTCCCAAAGTGCTGGGATTACAGACTTGAGCCACCGCGCCCAGTCCCAGATTCTAATGAATCTTTTCAATGCTGATTGTCTAAATCCCTCTGGCCCCTCTTAATAGACCCTGACCAGTCGACAGTGAGGTGAGTGCTTCATGCACGCAGAAAGGTGCACAAATACTAGTTAGTTCCAGCACCAGGGAGGTTGGGAGTCTGGCGTCGAAGACAGAGTATTTAACAGAAAAGAGTCCAAGGGCGGCGGGACCGACCAACGCTGCGTAGAGGGGCTATGCTGACAGCTGAGTAGATTAGAAACCCGACTGACGAGGAACTGACTTGGGGAGCGTGCCAGGCGAACATTGCCAGGGCAGAGAACCCCCATCAGCTCCCGAGGTCATTCTTCCCGCGCCCCCACCGGCCTCCGCGCACTCTCCGGAGGCAGAGCGACCGCTCTGCCCGGAGGCTCCAGCGTTTCCCGCCGTTGGAGACTCTGAAATTGCCTTTTGGAACAAAACTTGGGTCGGAAAGGAGGCGAAGGGAAAGCGGTGTGAAGTCCTCGGTGCGGAAGAGTGAGCGGTGCCGTAGGGGGTAGCCCGAGGGGAAGCTTCCCGACCCGGACATTGAGCAAAAGCCGAGCGCTCGACTCCCCTCGCTGCGCCTGCGTTCGGCCACCTCCGGGAGAGTTTCGGCTCTTTCCGTCAGTTCAGCTCGGGCCCTCTATTCCCGGCGCTCGTCGGGCCCCTACCCGATGCCGCCGGGTACGAGCTGTTTTGTACGCGGACGCGAGCTCGAGTCCCACCCGTTTTCCCCTTGCATCTAGTTTGTCCCCGACCCCCTCCCAGAGTCTCTTCCCTTCCGCGGTAATACCCAGTCTCCGGTGGCGCGCGAGCCTGCGGACGGTGCGAGACGCGAGGGACCGGGTCCCGAGAAGAGCTGTAACCCGACCGGTCGGAGCCCGCCTCTCGCCGCCCCGCGCCTCTCCTCGATCCCCTCGGTCTCCGGTGCGCGGGCCGTCTCGCCGCTCCAGCCGCGCTCGCGCACCCGTTGGCTGCCACAGCCTCGAGCTTGGCGCGCCGGGTTCGCGCCGGCGCGAGTACGCGCCCTGAGCTCTGGCTGGCTGGCTGGCGCGCACGCGCCCGAGAGGGCTCCGGGGCGGGGCGAGCCGCTGCCCCGGCAAGGATCGGGGTGATCTGCTGGAGCTCCGGCCGCAGCCTTGATTCCCGGCCTGCAGAACTGCCCTGGAGAGAAGCGGGGAGGCGGCGGTGGGGGCGGGGCGGCGTCCGGCTGTGAGAGAACTGGGGGAGGAGCGCGGCGGTGGCGGCGGTGGCGGCGGCGGCGGCGGCGGCGGCGGCGGCGGCGGCTCTAGAGGGAGAGGTGAAGGAGGCGGAGGATCTCTTTTCCTGTTCTCAGACCCGGGAGCGTCTGGGACGCGGAGCCCGGAGCTGGGGCGACAAGGCGATTGCGTGGGCCCCGGCTAGGTGAGACTGGGGATGCTGGGTGGCGGGGTTGGCGGGGGCTCAGAGGGGCACCGAGGTGCGGGGAGCGGGTTGAAGGAGGAAAAGGGGGGAGGGGGTAGTTGTTGGGGCCGGGGGACGGGAAGGAGGGGAATGTGAGCCCTTAGAGATCCGTAGTGCCCAAAAGGTGGAAGGTTCCTGGGGTATGTGGGGGCGGGCGAGACACCCATGTCCGAGTTGGGGAGTTTCCAGAGGGATAGGCCGGGGAAACAATGGAGTGTGGGGGGGGGGGACTCTGGCGTGAGCGTGTGTGGGGTATTGGATTTTAAGAAACAACCAGCGAGATAGAAAAGAATGAAAGAATAGGATCATTTGGGATGAGAAGTACAATGAATTGGGAATGCAGTGGGGATGCGTAAGGTCACCTCCGTGGGTGTCCGAGGTCCTTAGGATTCGGGGGCAATAATGAGATTTGAAAATAAGGGATAGAAGGGCGTTCTTGGAATTGAAGGGGGAGACAGAATGGAAAATAAGGCGGAGAGGCAGAGATATAAAATAGATGGGGTTAGTACTTGGATTAAAACAGAAAGGTAGATTCAGTCAGTTTTGGACTAGAGTGATATTTTTCTCATAATTCATCCAGAATGATTGGGTTCTTTTAGAAAGTGGATCTTTCTCAAGCTTGTCCTCTGCTAAGAAGTACAAACCATTCTTTAAATAATTTGATTATCACTTGTCCATTTTATTGATAAAACATGCCTGTGATAGTTACTTCCCCTCTGTTTAGCAGGCTACTACTGTACGTAATTTACCTATGGTTGATGAAGCAGGAGAGGACAGATCACCAAAAATATCTTGCTTTGAGTTAGGTCAGTGATAATGCAGAGTTCAGTGTTTTGGAGAGAACCAAAAGCTTGCTTGTTTTCAGTTTGACCAAAAGGTGATGGATAAAATTAAGTTATCTGTACTTTGTTAGAATTGCAATTTCTCCCTGAGAAATGTTCATGTACCATCTGCTACTGGTTTTATGTTTGTGGGAGAGAGTTGGGGTTCTGCCTTAAATTATTTCTTGATGTTAACTTCAGATAATCAGGCTGCCTCATACCTTCCAGTTTCAATTAAGGTGATTTGGGAATATTGTGGAAAAGTATCTCTGGGATTATGATCTTTGCATTTCCTTAATACTTGGATTTCCAGACCAAATTTGTGATGGTACTAGATAGAAAATTGCTGATTTTGAAATTGTAATGACTGTTGTGTGCTCATAAATAGTCCATGTTAAGCCTTTTATTTGTTGGGCATTACATTTTGCTGACTCATCTAAGATTTTTGGACATTCATCAGTTTATATTTCTCAGCTAGGTCTTGGATGGTAGCATTTAGGTTACTTTATAAAGGTCCAAAATATGATTTAAATTGTCACTTTTCTTAGATGTTATGAAAATTGAACAAAGCAAGAAGTGAGTACAGTGTTCTCATTAGTGACAATGTGCCTCTTTTTTTTTTTTTGAGATGGAGTCTTGCTCTGTTGCCCAGGCTAGAGTGCAGTGGCGTGATCTTGGCTCACTGCAACCTCTTTCTCCTGGGTTCAAGCGACCCCAGCCTCCTGAGTAGCTGGGATTACAGGTGCCCACCACCGCGCCTAGCTAATTTTTGTATTCTTAGTAGAGACAGGGTTTCACCATCTTGGCCAGGCTGGTCTCGAACTTCTGACCTTGTGATCCATCTGCCTTGGCCTCCCAAAGTGTTGGGATTACAGGCGTGAGCCGCTGCGCCCGGCCTCTTTTTTAACTGACCTCTTTCAGTGGGCTAGTCAGGGTGCTAAGATTTTTTTGTATATATTATCTCATTTGATCCTCACAATTATTTTGTATTTTGTAAATTAAGAGGTTAAATAATTTACTGAGGTCACAGAGCTAGTAAATAACAAAGCTTGATTCAGACCTAGGTGTATCGGATGCCTTTTTTAAAATCTTCACTGCCTGCTTGCTCTTTCTGCTTCACCCCCATCTTGGTTATAGTAAAGCAGCATGAACTGGTTGAAACTTGGGTCTGATAACTGTGATTTAGATGAAGATTAAGTTAGTAGGCTGTAGCCTACTCTGTAGAGTTCATTGAAAGTTTACTGCTCCTGTGATTTAACAAAGCTCTGAGATTCTGATAAATAGGGCTAAAAACATCTTTTTGCTAAGGATTTGTCTTGCGACCACACTTAGTTTTCTGTTTAGTCTTGTACTGCTGAGGTACTGTGCATACGTGGCACTCTTACTTGTAGAAGTCAAGACAGCCAGTTGTGGAGCCAAAACCAATTAACTCTGAAAAGCAATTGAAAACTGCTCAGTACTCAGGTGCCCTCCAAACACCTGTTGAGCCCACAATTGGTACTAGCATTACCTCTAAATATAGATATGATCCTCTTAGAAACCAGGAGTGAAACAGCTAGAACTGAGGGAAACAGCTGGGGGCTGAGGGAGGAGCCACAGGTTATAGCCAAAACATGAGCATAGCCCCTGGAGGCTAATCAGGCTAAGACAGGAGGGAATTTTCATTTGTTGAGCATTTATGTATTCAGGCACTGAACTCAGTGTACATTTTTATCTTATCAGTTAGTTGTAAGTATTATCCTCATTTTTCAGATGAGGCTCAGAAGGACTAAAAGTAACTTACACAAAGTCACTTTATAATGGCAGTGAAGAAAGTTTGTGTATACTATTCTAAAAATTGCTGCTTTCAGTTTTCCATTGTAGGGTCACCATATTAAAGCTGGGAACTAAAAGTCAGTCTTTCAGATCTACCTGGCTTCTCTTATGTGTGTAACTGATTATTTCAGTCTTGCTGCTTTCATTGGAAACTGGAAGGAAAAGCTTGTATTTTTTGGATGTAATTGTTAGGAAGTACAGTCCATTCATTATATTACCAAATGACCTGCAGAATATAATTCAGCTTCCTCAGTTGCTTAGTGTATATCTGCAGCAACATGAAAATAGCATGTCCATCCCTTCTCTTCTGGGATCTTCACTTTCAACAAAGTCATCTAGACTCTGGAGGATGACAGTGAAGCTTGCCTGTTACAGATTCTTCCACATTTCTCAATATGTTTTTGCCACAAATGTTTGATGGTTGTTCTTGGTTATTTATTTATTTATTTTTTAGGGACAGGATCTTGCTGTGTTGCCCAGTTTTGCCTCAAACTCCTGGGCTTAAACAATCTTCCCGCCTCAGATTCTGGAGTAGCTGGTATTTGCTAGTTTGTTTACTCCCCCAATCCCCCTCCCACCTGCCCAGAAAGGATCTCCCTCTGTCACCCAGGCTAGAGTGCAGTGGTACAATCATGGCTCACTGTTTGACCACGCCCAGCTAACTTTTGTATTTTTTTGTAGAGTCAGGGTTTCGCTGTGTTGCGCAGGCTGGTCCCCAACTCCTGGGCTCAAGTAATCCACCCTCCTTGGCCTCCCAAAGTGTTGGGATTATAGCATGAGCCACCTCACCTGGCCTTTTTGTTTACTTAAAAAAAATTGTTGTGGTAAACTATACATAGCAAAACATTTATCATTTTAACCATTTTTAAGTGTATGGATCAGTAGCATTAAGTACATTCACATTGCTGTGCAACCATCACCACCATCCATCTTGGGAACTTTTTTATTTTCCCAGACTGAAGCTCTGCACCTATTAGGCAATAACTCCTTGTTTCTCTTTCTCTACCCAGCTGCTAGCCACCGATATTCTACTTTCTGTCTCTATGAATGTGACCACCCTGGGTACCTCATATGTAAGTGGAATCATAAAATATTTACTTTTTTGTGTCTGGTGTGTACCACTTAGCATATCTTCAGAATTCATCCATGTTGTAGCATATGTCAGAATCTCATTCCTTTTTAAGGCTGAATAATATTCCATCGTATGTACACACCACATTTTGTTTATCCATTCATTCTCAATGGACATTTGGGTTGTTTCTACCTTTTGGCTGTTGTGAATAATGGTGCTGTGAATTTTGGTGTACGAATCCGCTTGTTCGAGTCCCTCTGTATTGGTCCATTCTCACATTGCTGTAAAAAAATACCTGAGACTGGGTAATTTATAAAGAAAAGAGGTTGAATTGGCTTATGGTTCTGTGGGCTGTACAGGAAACATAGCAGCTTCTGGGGAGGCCTCAGGAAACTTATGATCATGGCAGGAGGCAAAGGGAAAGCAGGTATGTCTAGGTGGCTGGAGCAGGAGGAAGAGAGAGAGGTGGGGGAAGTGCTACACACATTTAAACAACTAGATCTTGTGAAAACAACCCTAGGGGGCTGGCACTAACCCATTCATGAGAAACCATCCCAGTGTTCCAGTCACCTCCCACCAGGCCCCACCTTCAACACTGGGGTTACAGTTTGACATGAGATTTGGTGGGGACACAGATCCAAACTATATCACCCTCCTTTCATTTTTTTTTTTCTTCGATTTACACAGAAGTAGAATTGCTGGATCCTATGGTAATTATATGTTTAGTATTTTGAGTAGGCTTGGTTACTTTTATTTTTTATTTTTATTTATTTTATTTTATTTTTCCTTATTTGCTTTATAACATGTTTGGGTAAATTTATTTCAAAAATATCATTTTCTGGAGATACTTTCTCAGGTCCGTATTTTGACTGCAAATCTGAATACCATCTGCTTGTTTCTTTCCTTACAACAATCCAGGGCTCTTTCTCTTGCTCTAGTAACGTAATCACATCTGGCTTAGAAATGGAACTTCCCAGTGAGATCAGGTGGCTGTAGTTCTCCAACATCACATTCCTGTACAAGGTCCTCTGATCAGGCTGCAGGCACTCCCACTCCTCCTGAGAGAAGTCAGTGGCCACATCCCTGAATGTCACTGATCCATGGACCATGTTTCTAGAATTACAAAATTTGGTCAATCTTCCTCGGGCTTCTTCTCCTTGACTTAAGTGTGCAGCAATAACGCTCTCATCCTCCTGGTCCTTCTTTTGGATAATGGTACGACCAGCTATGTCGTCAACCCCCGGAGGCCGGAAGTGGAACCGTTGTATTTTTTATTTATTTTTTTGGAGACAGTCTTGTTCTGTCACCCAGGCTGGAGTGCGGTGGCACGATCTCAGTTCACTGCAACCTCCACCTCCTGGGTTTAAGCGATTTTCCTGCCTCAGCCTCCAATTAGCTGAGACTACAGGCATGCACCACCACACCTGGCTAATTTTTGTAGTTTTAGTAGAGATGAAGTTTTGCCATTTTGACCAGGCTGATTTCGAACTCCTGGTGTCGAGTGATCCACCCGCCTCAGCCACTCAAAGTGCTGAGATTACATGTGTGAACCACTGTGGCCTGCTGAGACTTGGTTACTTTTAAGTGGTGATTTTATCATAGGCTACCTGAAGGTAGCACTTGATAGTGCTTTCTCGATTGACTTTTTCTTAATTGCTAGCAGGACACTTAGGGTGGAAATGATTCAAAAGGAAATGTTTTACCCAGTTTTCTTGTATCCAGTGTGGAAGGAACCATTTGTTACATACAGTTCTTTCCAGTCATGTGCAAATATGGATGATCGTCTTAAGAATGCTGTATATGTTACCTGTCAAGATTTTTAGTACACTTTGCTGCCTTTGATTGAAATTTAGGGTACTTTTCTCATTTAAACATGTTTTACATGTATGAGCTGCTGCTTACTGCTTACCTTCTGTATCTTTCCGCATTCGATGAAAAAAAAATTTAGTGTCTGCTGTATGCTTTAAATATCAAGCAGATACCTGGAATACATAGAATAGAAAGTAAAATTGTTTGAAGTCATTTGGCTCCATTTTCTCTCTCTCCTTATACACTATGCAAACTGTAACATAATACTAAATATAATAGGTTGAAAGAGCTGCAGTGAACTGTCTCTTAGGATGAGCCTAGCCTCTCATTTCATCTTCTATTTTGTGTGCGTGTGTGTGTGTGTGTGTGTGTGTGTGTGTGTGTGAGAGAGAGAGAGATGGAGTTTGCTTTTGTCGCCCAGGCTGGAGTGTAATGGTGTGATCTCATCTCACCACAACCTCCGCCTCCCAGGTTCAAGCGATTTTCCAGCCTCAGCCTCCTGAGTAGCTGGGATTATAGGCATGCGTCACTATGCCCGGCTAATTTTTTGTATTTTTAGTAAAAACGGGGTTTCTTCATGTTGATCAGGCTGGTCTTGAATTCCGAACCTCAGGGGATCCACCTGCCTCGGCCTCTCAAAGTGCTGGGATTACAGGCGTGAGCCACTGCGCTCAGCCTCCCATTGCATTTTCTAGATGTTACATGGAGGTTAATTATCCCTGCATCTTGCTTCATGATATTGTTGGGTGACATAGCGACTTTAGGCTCATATGCCATTTTCTGGAAGCCTTATAGGAGACTTTGTGAGCTCTCACTTACTTTGGAGGTGGTCTGTCTGAAACCCAGTCCAATTGCCATTCAGTTGAATTGATTCTGAAATATTTCTAAAGATTTGACGTTTGTGGGAGGCTGGGCATAGTGGGAGGCCACTTTCACCTCAGTCCTAGCACTTTGAGAGTCCAAGGTGGGAGAATTGCTTCAGACCAGGAGTTTGAGACCAGCTTGGGCAACATAGCAAGACCTTGTCTCTACAAACAATTAAAAAATTAGAGCTGGTCATGGTGACTCGTGCCTGTAATCCCAGCACTTTGGGAGGCCAAGGTGGGCGGATCATGAGGTCAGGAGTTCTAGACCTGCCTGGTAAATATAGTGAAACTGCATCTCTACTAAAAATACAAAAATTAGCCGAGCGTGGTGGCATGCGCCTGTAGTCCCAGCTACTCGGGAGGCTAAGGCAGAAGAATTGCTTGAACCCGGGAGGCAGAGGTTGCAGTGAGCCGAGATTGCCCCTCTGCACTTCAGGCTGGGCGACAACGCGAGATTCCATCTCTAAATAAATAAATAAATAGATAAGCAAGCAAGCAAGCCAGCAAGCAAGCTGGTCGTAGTGG